GGAAGTAATTTATCATCACAGGTCTCTAGGTGATACAACTTTTTTCTGACCTTTTTGACTGCAGTACCTGAATTTTCAGCAGTAGTTTTTCCTGTGACGCGTAGGTGGCATAAGTTTAATTCTAGATGTGCTTTCACTACTTGTGTGCAGACATGCAGTTCTGATGTGCATGTGTTTTTCTTCTGTCCTTTCTTCCAATCCTTTATCTCTCCAGCAAATTGAAGAATTTTCCGATGTTAACGAAGGAGAGAAAGAAGTGATGAAATTATGGAATCTTCATGTTATGAAGCACGGGTATGTTACTATGCTTAGTTTTGATGCAAATAAATAACGGTTTAGATTTGGTTGACCATTTTGCATTGCAGTTCACTAAGTACTTAATTCATTTAGCTCAGTTGTTTGGGAAAGGATCATTAAATGATAATTTGGTAACAAGCTTTTGACTTAAGTTTTTAAAAAAATGTTCTTGCACCTAGTAGCCCTATGGCTTTGAAAAGAAAAACATTGCAGCTGTTGAGACTATGTAATATAGATGGTTTATGCAGTTACATTGATAAACCATGTTGTAGGGTACCTTTCTGTTTTTGAAAATGTTCTACTTGCATAATGATGGCTTTCTAATTTGACAGGTTTATTGCTGACAATCAAATGAATCATGCCTGTATGCTGTTTGTTGAAAATTACGGACAAAAAATAATTAAGAAGAACTTGTGTCGAAACTTTATGCTACACCTGGTCAGCATGCATGACTTTAACCTCATCAGCATAATGTCAATAGACAAAGCTGTTGCCAGGCTCCGAGAGATGCAGCAGAAGTTAGAGAAAGGAGAATCAGCCTCCCCAACGGATGAGGAATCTTCTGAGGAACAAAGTGGGACAACAAATGGATATAGTGAAAATAATATGAGAGAGAAAATTTCAGAAATGGATAGCATCTCAGGTGTCACAAAACAGAGCAAGAAACAAAAGCTCTGAAGTCAAGTCAATTGCCATTCAACGGACAAGCATTGAAGTGACATTCTAGGGTGCATGAGCTCTATAAAGAATTACACACAGAAATACAGAGATTCCAAACAGGCACTGCTGGATGGAAATAAATGATTTCAACAAGGATATTGTTTTAACAGGGTTTCTATTCAGTTAATTATGCAAGTACTACATGTATATCGGTTTTGGTGATGTAATGACAATATTCTAAGAGTTTGAGCATGAAGAGCAATATGAAAAACTTTTTGTAATTTTAGTAATTAGTGTCTTAACTTTATGGAATTTACATAATTTAAGTATATGTAAAACCGTTTTTATATTAAGATTTTTGCATCTGTATCTGGCTGTTTTTCCTACCATGAAGTTGTGAAACATTGGGGAAAGGGAATTGGGATACAGTTTCTGCTTTTCTTATTTAGAAATTCTCCAGTTAGCTTTATGTGAAAATAAGGTTTCACTATTTAAAGTTTAACCTTGATCCTTGTATTTGAAATCATTTATTAATTGATCATAAATTACAAATGAGGGGTTTTTTTTTCACACTAAAATTATCAAAGTTGGCAAACTTAGCACTTCCTTTGTCTTGTGCCTGTTTGGAAAGATCTTGGCTTTTCATGTTACAGACACAGTGAAGTACCACCTTGGCTTTTTGAGGTTACCAGCAGTTTGGTTTTCGTGGATAATTCTGATGTATTGATCACCCAGTGTACCATTTTAAACTTGAACATTAGCTCCTTTATATTTTTATTACACATTTACAGTTACACAAACTATTTGATGTAAACCCTTTTTAATGGGGTTGTGCATCATAGTGTGCCATGCTAAAGCCGAGAGTCTATAGTCAGTATGTAGGCATTACGTCGATTAACTTCATTTGAAGTTTACCCCTGCTGTTTTGCCTGAGTACAGACTGCAAGTCCAGGCCATAGGTTTAGCTTTGGCTTTCAAGATGCCACTCTTGAGGGAAAAATGCACTGTAAAATTGGACCAGAAAATGTGTTGCACTTCTTATGCAAGTATTCTGTGATGTATTGTATTCAATACAGATACTAAGATGCTGACTGAACTATATTTGAGCAGTTTTGCACTGCTGTTAACACATTTTATGCATACGTTTACAGATTTTTTCCAATGGAAAGTGGTTTCACTACTGGTACAGTATCAGCACCGAAGGGTTTATTCCAGCAAGCACTGTGGTTGAGTGACATCACCTCAATTTTTTTATTCTCCTTAAAATATTACATTTTTCATATTCTTTATTTATAAAGGAACAATGCTGCTGTAAATACAGGTATTTTTAATTTTTTATTTCATTCCATCACCATGAGATGCAGTTCCCTATTTGTTTAAGGGGTATATAAGCTTTCTAATGGTGTCTTCAGAAATTTATAAAATGTAAATACTGATTTTGATGGTCCTTAAGATGTGTTTAACTGTGAGACTATTTAACTAATGGTGTGGATGTGATTTGTCATCCAGTATTAAGTTCTTAGTCACTGATTTTGTGTACAAAATAGGAAAGAGGGAAACTGCAGCTTTCATTACAAACTTCTTGAATTTGCCAGCTCTCTTGAGTTTTAGCAAACTCTAATTACGCCTCTGGATAGTACATCAAGCATTTCTCTCTGGCTTTAATTTGCTAAAGCTGTGCACATATGTAAAAAAATAGATTATTTTAGGGGAGATGTAGTTCTAGAATTATTGCTTATGTCATTTCTTAAGCAGTTATGCTCTTAATGCTTAAAAGAAGGCTAGCATTGTTTGCACAAAAAGTTGGTGATCCCCCCAAAAATAGTAATGAAATTACTTCTGTCCGGTAAACTTTGTATGTCATGTCAATTTATAATAAAAGCTGAAAAAATCCTTTTGTTTTCTATTTATAAAGATGCCTTTTCTATATGTACCTTTAATAGATTTTGAAGATACATGTAAGCTGGTTAAAAAGAATTTGAATGGTACAGTAGATGTAAACCCAAACAAAACCCCAAACAAGAAACAAAGCAAGTTCAGTTGTTTAAATGAACCGTTGTTTTTACATTAAATGTTTTATTTGAAATCAGCTTTTGTACATAAAGTTCAGTAATATAAAATCTGCCATGATGGTTGTCCAGTCATTTTGTGTGCATGCAGAAAGGCCACACGCAGCACCTTGTATAAATTCTCTTCTGCATGTCTTTTAAAATTTGGATACATGTTTTTCTTTTGCCAGATGTTTACAAAGTTAGCTACGTTTCTGTCCAGTCTTTTTGTCATATTTAAGGTGTCTCCATAAATTACCAGTTTTATAGCCAGATTATAAAAACTTTCATTTTCCTTTGTTGGGAGTAGAACTGAATACCTGAGAAATATCTGTAAGTTGTGTAACACTGTTTAGAACTGTAATTTATATATCTGAAAATGAAACATACCACTTGTGTCAGTTATAAAAACAAGACTTGTGCATTTTTTACATGCAAGTGGTTAATGTTTCAGACAAATTTGACAAGAGACTTAGTTTATTTGGAGCAAAATTTAAATCAGTATCAGTTTAAAATAGTGCTTCTGTGGGACTGTAGAGGATGGATGCTCCAGGTACTACAGAACAAAGCAAGTAAGGAATTGCAATGCTTGGTCAGATAGTGACTGTTGAATAGCAGACCCTGAAAACCTTCTTCCATCTTAGACATAATCCAGATACTGAAATACAGGATATGACAGCTAGGTTCTGTAAAGTTCAGACTGCAGTTGTCCGGTATGCTTTTGTCTCTAAAATTGGTAAGGTTCTTCTAATTTAGCCTTCAGTATGTTCATGGCAGATTTTAATGATGTTTTGTATTTGGTGATCATCTTGACACAACAGGTCTGTGAACCCCAAGTTGGAACCTAACATGACTTGAATATTTAATTAAGCACATTAAATACTATATTCAAAATCGTTAGATAAATTTAAGCTGTTCACCTTAAATGTATTTTGCTTTGAGTGTGTTCCTTGAATGTAGTCCTTGAATTTTTGGCGGGTGGGGTAAAGATTCACTGCCTGGATTGAAGCAATTACAAATAATTTGTACTGTTCTGATTACTTCACTAATCACCAAAACAAAACCCTTAAACCATAAAACCCACCCCAAACCAGCAATTTGATTTTACCTTTGAGAATACAGAAGCTGTCCTGTGAGGGCAATTTTGACAGTATTGTTCAAAGTAAAGTATTTCTTAATTCACAGAACAGTTTGGTGCCATCATTGACCATTTCTTGAGTGAAGGTGTTCCTGTTGGACCAGATCCTGGCTATAATCCTGATACTGGGTGGTTTCAAAACTGAGAACAGAAGAGCTGTGAATGAAGTAGGTAAGTCTTTCTCCTGTGACTCTGACATCTGCTGTTCATAAGTTGCTCGATTGGAGACTTGAAGATGCACTCTTTAGGAGAAATACTCAGCCTCTTATGAAAAATGTTCTTTATAGGAATGGTTTATTTAAAAGAAAGCTAACAAGTCAGCAACCTTACTTTTTGGTTTCATGTGTTATTTTGCCCTTAAAAGAGACCAAAGAAATGGAACAAGCTGCAGGCAAAGCAGACCTAAGGAATTAAAGCTGTGTGTTTAGTTCAACATGGACTTTATTTGAAGGGGATTAAATACCTCTGCTTCTTGCTCAATAATGGTAGCCAAAAACTACTGGTAAAAATTGCACCATTTAATGCAAGGGCAAGGAGATGGGAACAGTAAAATAACAAGCAGAGACAAATTAGCTGATGGAGTTTATAAATGCTGTAACCAACTTTTTAAAAGGTAAAATTGTTATTTCTGCAAGTGGTCTGTTAAGATCTGAACTTCAGCTGGAAATAAAAGTAAGTGTGCAACTGAGAAACCTGCAATAAAAAAAATTGTTTGGGACTTCTGAGGGACAAAAGATGATAAAAAAAACCTCTTAAAGATTGCTGCAGTGCTATCACATACATTTTCTTGTGTTTTGTTAGAATGCAGTAATGCTCAGCTTTGTGCCCCAATAAATAATTTCCTAGGCCATACACAGTTGAGGGATAAAACTTTATTTTAAAAAATTCAAATTTCACTTGACACAAAGCTTAGTTGAGGTAAGTGAATGTACTAGCTTAAGAAAACAACTTTCAGGATTGGATTTCATAAGCAGTTAACACTGTGTTGCTTGCAAGGCTCCAAGAGCTAGAGGTGAAAAACTAAAGCGTCAAGTTTTCTACCTAGCTGAACCCCACTGTGGAAGAACAGAATTTCAACGTTTTTAATTCAAGCCTCTGATTCTTTGCACACTTTGTTACTTAGGACTCTTGTCCTGAGACTCCTCAGGTTTAAAAGGTGCAGCTCTAAGAGGTGGCTGAACAGTACCTAATATGCAATTTGGACAGCTAGACTTATGCTAAGTTTGAAAAAAAAAAAAAAAAAAAAAAACAAAAAACAAACACAACACAACCTTGGCAAGCTGCCCTTGTTCAACATACAGCTAAAGCCTGAGGTCAGAAAAACTTTATTCTATTGGCATCCTCAGGTCTCAAAGGGGGCAGTAGGGGCCTCCTGGGGCCCTTCACAGTCATCTTAAGCTGCTTTGAATGTATATTCTGAGCAAACTGACATGGCATTACCATCTCTGGAAGTACCTGAATTGAAAGCTTAAGCTTTATTTTCTAATATGCAAGTAAATATCCTGCAGAAACAAGTCTGATTAGCTCCTCCAAAAGCAGATGAAAAGGTACCTGACCCATCAGTACCTCAGAAGTGCAGATATTCACAATTTTAGTTCCCATAGGGTAGAAGTACTAAGTTACAAGTACCTGGCACCTGAAGTGTGTAAGTAAAATTAGCAGCACTACTGAGTGGAGCAAGATTTAAGTCAGCTGCTAGCTGGAGTGCTAACCTGATCCTCTAAACGGGACTGGTACTGTTTGATCATTCACTGAACCTTCTTGGCTACAGGAAAAGAACCATTTTTTTAATATATAGAAAATACTTCACAGGATAATTCAAAGGAACACTGAAAGTGCAGGATAAGCTAGTATTCTCTTACTCCCTAACACTGAAATAGTTAAGCTTGAAAAACTGAGAATACTGCAGGCTTTTTGTTGCTAACACTGATAATCTTACTTGCAGGTGTCCAGTCTTCCTCACTTCATGTCTTAGAGTAAATTACAACTTAACTGCCATGTGCAAGTTCTTTGCATCCATGTGAATCTACTCATAAGGGTTTTTTTCCTTGTAAATGTTATAAATACCAACAGCCATTCTCCTCTTCTGAAATTCTTGTATCCCTACTACAGATGCTTGGGGAAAAAAACGCAGGCAGGTTAACTAATCTTTTCGTACTGGCAACATGAGTATGGGGGATATTAATCCAATGTAAATTAAGCTTTTTATGCTAGCACAGAGGGCTAATGTAGCATGTTGACACTGAAAGAAGAAGGGTAGAATGATTGTCTAGGTTTTATAAAAATATTGCTATTCTAGCATGCTAAATATCTTTAATTTTAATTGAACTTCAGGTAAGAAGGCCCTCAGTAAACATTACTTTTAAATATTCTTTAAATCCAATAGTATTGCAATCTTGACCAGGAATAGGCTCTCTGATAAGCTCCTTCTAAATCTTAGTTGTCCCTTAGGGGAAATATAGGTAATTTTATGTAGCTTCTGAATTCAAAGTCAATTCATCATAATTTCTTATCTCATTCTATTACATGGAGGAGAGTGCTAGATTACTACCATCTGCTTCATTTTGACTGCTGTGGGCTAAATCTGTGCCAGTGGGGTCTGCTGTAAGCCCATACCCAAAGCCTCTCTCCCACAGTGGGTCTCCAGCAGCAGTCCCAGCCTGCCTAGTCCGGCCCCAGGGCTCAGCCCATAAACCAGCACTAGGGCCTGGGACTGGAAGGTGTGTCCAGGTATTATCTGGGCTTTTCAGGAGTCCTGCACATTGAAATAGCACTGCCCTTGTCCACCACCAGAGACAACAGAAAGAAGGTTGTCTGAAGTCTTAGGAGGGCTCTGTGAAGAATCAGGGCTGTCACTCTGCATGTCATGCCCAAGTACTAAATTGCTAAGAGTTGCTCTGATACAGGCTACATGGTGAATTATAACTAGGGAAGACAGTCAGCGCGTAAGGAAAACTGTCCTACTCTAGGTATTGGTCTAGTTTGAGGCAAGCATCTGCATTTAGTTGATGTAAGCATCACCATGCAACTACTCTGGAAAATGTATTCCAAGTGACAACACACACAGAAAACAGTTCAAGAAATACCTGGAAATAAGGCACTTAAGTGAGACATAAACAGACCGGCTACATATTTAAACAGACATTATGGCTCAGATGTCCTTGCTCAGAGGAATGAACAGTACCATGCATGGAAGGAAGGGCTGTTGCACACAGAAGCCACTATCCATTCATACTGTTAAGGCAGCATTGTGTACAAACAAGCACAGCAGGACATCATGGCTCTAACTACTTTGCTTTTTTTGAGTGGCATAAATAAAACTTTGGTCCATTACCATCCCTCCACTTCCCTAAATGCTTACAGGCTTATTTCACAGAACAGCAGCATTAAGCAAAGTTAATTCTACACAACACACGTACCCTGAGACTAGAGTACAATGAAATACTGGAAAAACTCAAGTCTGGAGGAAAAAAGAGAAGGGTCTGATGGACTTATTAAATTAATTTGCCTATGCAAATGCCTGTTTCTAGCTTTTTCCAGAGTAACAAATCCAACATTTCACAATTATTTTTTAAATGAATCCAGTAGGAAGTACAATATAGTGGAGTTCAAGTAGTATAAAGACACTTTTAACAGATTATTGAACAGCTGGAAATCCAGGTTTTAACATTAGACTTTATATCAAGAACAAAAATCCCTTCACTCATTACTAAAACACCAAAACTTTCCAGCCTGGGTATGAAAATGAACATCCAAAATACAAAGAGACACAGCATTGATCAAGTACCCAGTCAAAGACCACTTCTCTGTTGTTAGAGCTAATGGTTACTCGAAGCTTGAAGTTTCCTCCCTCATTGCTGGAAGGCCCTAACTGCACAACTTCCATGTCAAACGTCACGGTCGATCCAGAAGTAACCGCAGGCAGTTGGTTTGTCATCTCTTTTCCATTTACAAATACTGCCCCTGAAACAGTCAAGATAAAGTGTAATTTCTTCTCACTTTCTGTACATACTAACATGCAATGCTATGTTTCCCTATTCTTTTTGCAGGCAAATAGAAATGGACAGCAACCCTGACGTATTCCTTTCTGTCACATTAAAGGTGTAGTAAGTACAAGCAGGAAAGGGAAATCCCTGATCTCACCAAAGATTTTAACAGCACAAGCAGTATGTATATAAAACGTGGGTGAAGTTGCTCACATGTGCTTCAGGGATATAAAGAACCAGGAGCTATAGGTTTGAGGCAAGGAAAGAAAGGAAAAAAAAAGAAAATCATTCTTCACTTACGCAATTCAGACTCACCGTTTGTGCTAATGCACACAGCTTTATCCCGCTGCAAAGAATCATAGCCATTCTGCTGCTCCACACACACTCCTAGGCTGTCTCGTCTGTCTGGCTGTCCCACAGTTTCAATTCTACCAAGCAAAAGGTTAAGTCAAACCCTGAAGCTTTAAATCAAAACATACAATGAAATCCAAACAGTAATACTGTGTCATACCAGACCCGTGTACTGTGCTCCAGGGCTTTTAACAAATTCATCCAACCTGGGGACATCCCCGTTGAATGACTAGAAGTCCTGCCAGCTTTCCCAAGAGCTCCACTGAGCAACGCTCTATTAATCTGTACAAAACAGGAACCTCCTTCCCACAAACTTTAATTGATATTTAATGAAATTTTCCACTGTCACAGCTTAGAGTATTTTGAAATTATTTCCAGTTGTCTGAAACAACAAATATGCACAAAACTACAATCTACATTTATACCAGATTACTGGTCAACATCACGTATTACGGCAAGACAGCTGTAGTTTCAGCACGCATTTCATAAGCATGACTAAAACAGGAGTTTTTTGAGCCCTGCTATATTCTGCTGTAAAGGAGAGGGGGTGGAAGGCTGATGTGTTATGGGGGTAGTGGGCTGTTGGGTTTGAGTGGGTAGGGGAGTTTTTTGTTCGTTTTGGGGTTTTTTAATAAATCAGCTTGGTAGAAATGTGTATTAGAAACAATGCTTAGAATAGCATTTACAAGTCTGGCTTCTGCTCAGCCACATTTAGGATTTTGGTCCTGGGAAAAAATCTCTGAAGAACAAGCAAACAAGTTGTGCAAATAACCTGGGACGCGGTTCCCTCTGGGCCCTAGCAGCTGAGTGAGGCTGCACTATTTGTATACTGAAGGGCTCTTCTGTATTTGAGTTCTTTCTCTTGTACTGCGATCTCTCAAAGGTGCTAAATCATACTTCAGAGAGAGCTTGAGTGACTCAGGGAAACTCAGATGATCTTTTCTAGAAAGTAAAACTGGTTATTTGGTTATTTTCATTAAGCCTTGAGAGAAAGAACAGCACTTACACATGGTTGTTGCCAAAGAACAGAAAAACTTCAGCAAAAGCTTTTAAGAACTGGAAGTCAAAACCGGGCAGTAGACTGGCACACTGTGGGTTAAATTTCAAGACAAACAGGGAAAATAAAATTGGAACCATGTTTTACTTTTGCACTCCATTAGGTTTTTCAGTCCCCTGGGAACATCACTAAGATAGCAAAAGCCTTGTACTGGAAAGCAAAGCAAAGGAAAAAAAAAAATTAAACATCCAAGCAGCTTTTAATTTGGAAGTGATCCACAGTGTTTTCCCAAAACAAGTTTAAATTCATTTTGGTACTCCACTTCAGATTTTAAACTCTGATTGAATTACTGGTGAAGCTTTACAAACAGCTGTTTATCTGTAAACTTTGTGCATAAGGTAACATTAATTTATTCCATTCCCAGTAAAGGCAGCCTTTCTTAACATTTGGGTTGGAAATAAGCATTTGCACAGTCACAAGAATGACCAAAAATGTGTAATTACAAACCCATTAAAAAGTAGAAATTCTATCATGTCAATCTATATTCATAGTTATTTGCTCACTTACGTAGACCCCTTTTGCAGAGCTCTGTCAGGGTAACTGGGACCAGCAGCAATAGGAAGAAAAAAAACATCAAACAAGTGACAGGACAGCAAATGTCTGAGGGAGGAGCAATGGTACACCCGGATTGGGAACGCTGACAGGAGCCATTCTAGGACCAGCTTAATGTTTTCAGTTCAGCACACTCAGTGATATTCACGCTGGATCCAGGGTTTTTATCATGCACGTCTATATTTATCACTTCCAGGCCTTCCAGCCTCAGGACTGCCCTCACTCCAAGAGAGCAGATTGGGCTGCATGCTAACACAAAGAAGGAAAGAGCCAAACCCTCCTTACACCATAAAAAGGGAGCACAACTCAAGTGACCAAGACCATGGCCAACCTGTAATTCTGCAGTAGTTTTCTTCCTCTCACATGCACCGGGAAGAGGACCGGGATCTGGTATAGGTCACCATTCCTTTCCTTACTAGTTTTTGATTTTTTCAGCAATGAATAACCAGCCCAAGACCAAGAGCCCATGTACAGTACAGAGCATCACTGCACAATCTCCTAACCTTTACTTTACTAGGCTGATTTTCCCTATCACATTAACAAAATTATTCTCCAGCCTCTATGATCCCTGGGACTTAGCCCACAGAATACGTGATGTGAACAATGCTCAGTGGAACACTGTTCAAATCCCTTCTCACCACTTCCAATGCTGCTGAGCAAAACCTTGCCTCTGTCACTGCAGCATGCAGACACTGAACCAGTTCAACCACCACCAGTTTCCATTTGCCCCAAAGCACAGAGAAGTAAATCTCTGTGTGATCACATGCACTTCCTTTGTATTAGCTGTCAGGAGAGTTGTGGTGGGTTCCTGACAAAGGCAGCATGACCTTCATGGGGCATCTGCTGGATGATCCCAAATCACCAGCCTGGCCAGACTGACTGTGGCTCCCACTGCAAAGCAAAGGCTTTAGAGGCAGCTGCAGAGCAAGTCACTGTGGAGGAACATCTCCCTTCCTAAGGGCAGCTCCCTGAAGGCTGCAAAGAAACAGGATGAGTCTTGACTTAAAGCAATGATGTTTTCCTACAACTTGTCCAAATGCCTCACCACAGAGGACAATTGAAGCAGTCTATTTTTAAAAAGCAGATACAAAGCATTGCCTTTATCATAGCTTCACTTTTCACTGATGAGGTACACCTGTGTCCTGAACACACAAGAATAATACAAAGCTGCCTCACAAACATCTGTAACGTGAACCTTGCTTATTTGGTTTGATCTGTAAGCCACTTATCCCCCCGTGAATACACTTTTGTTTCAACAGATGGAGAAAACCAAGCGCCAAGTACTATGTTTCCCTGCTCAGGAAAATCTCACACACTTTCAAACAAGAAGCCACTCTTGGACATTGGAAGAGGAATACAACAGACTTTTGAGATTGTCTTCAATCTTAAGACTCGTGTCATAGTTCTTGAGGACATAGGCTTGTTAGTGCTCTGCCATCCTGAAACAATCTCCTCTTGGAGAGGAATCCACATTACCAAAATGTAAAATATTTTCATGTGCTACCAATAAAAAAAGATAAAAGGCACTGGTCTGAAAGAGGACCAAGGGGAACCTCAAAGTTCTGTCTTTAATTTCACAGGTATTTCTGAGCCAAGAGATGTTAAATCTAGCAATAGATTTCAAATGAAAGCTTTATATCTTTTTATCCCATCTCAGACAGGGCAACTGAATACATCCTCATACTACAACCACCTAAACTTAAGATAATTCATTATCAGGAAGGGAGAAATTAAACATGATGGAACGAGCTACAAAAATACCATGAACAGCCCCCTTAAATTGCCTTTGGGGGTTGCCTACTGTACAGCAAGTAGTTTTATTTAACCAGGGAAAGATGGAATAAAGCTCCAGAGTCTCTGAGGTCTGTAATTATAACTGACATATCCACAAGGACATTCCTCATACCCTGTTAAACAGCATCATCTCAGGGGCAGTACTACAGGCAGCAAAGCTGCCAAGGTTTTTAATCATATTCTGTGTCAAATGGAAAGCCTGAATTTCACAAGATCCCTTCTCCACTTGGGATTCTTTAATGCCAATTTCAAGCGGTACTCTGATCAGCACTAATTATCTCAGATGTTAACGACATCAGTGCCAGACTGTCATCCTTATCCGTCCCAGCAGCACATAAAATGTTTTCATGTCCAAAGTCTTCAAAGCACGTGGACAGTCTGTGCAGACATGCACCCACTGGCCCAAGGTTGAAAAGGATCAGTGGTGAGCCTCCACTGACTTCTAACCAGCCAGTAACAGCTGCTACAAAACTCGAGGAAGTTCAACATTCTACAGATTTGTTCAGCATGGGCTATATTTTGCCACCCCTCAGGAGCTCACTCATCTCTATTTTAGACAGGTGCAGGTCCTACAAAAACATAAGGTGTTTTCCCAAAGATCCAAGAAGTAAAAGTAAAGAGAAGGAAGTTCAGACTTCACACAGGACATACTGCCTTAACTGGGGCTGAGCTGATGTACAACTCCAACATGCATCATGACTCAGGTTTACATACAATGCAGATGTAACAGACCACAGAAGGAAGCCTGCCTCACAGGAGATATACCAGACAACAGCTACCCAAGAAGTACTTGCCTGAATGTTAATGTTTGCCCACAGAAATAAGTAGGAGCTTTGGAGTAGAGCACACCACATGACTGAGAATCATTTCGAAGCGCTATGTTTCTTCGACTGCTCAAGCTGTAACCCTCCAAACCAGTTGTCCATTCTTCAAAGAACAAAAAAAAAAAAAAAAAAAAAAAATGAAAGCATGACCCTCAACTAGCTACTGTGCAAAATCAAGTCAGCTGCAATGTCAACAGTTTGCCTCATATGAAGCTTAAGCTGTATTAAGAACAGGAGCTGGTTTTGCCTTCTTCTGGAGAGGTTTATTTTTCAAATAATTTGCAATTACAAAAAGTATTTCCCAGCTCACAGAGTTGACCAGAAGCTCACTCTTTGCTGTGATCCCTGTGAAGTTGTATTGCAGGCAAAGGAAAACCTTCATTACCTACTGCCCTTAAAAATTTGCAAGTGGTGAGAAAATTCAGTTTTTTCTCTCTGCAAGGGAAAAGCTTTTAATGAGACTGTATCTCATTCAAAAAAGCTTAGGTAGGGCTGAGATAGAAGGGGAAAAAAAACAAAAACAAACTTCACTTCTGTCTCACTGATGCTTTCCAAGGCTAAGTAGTGAGCTACCTGCTGGAAAGCTTCCCTAATTCTCCATCACACCATGAAGCAAAGAATAAATTATAGGTTGAAAAGATAGTTTATCATACATTACACACATACATGATAGCTAAGGACACCCCATCATCAAACAAAAAGCGGCTCTATGTCATTCAGCTATAGACCTTCAGGAGTGCTGCACTGATAACACAGGCTTAAGATGAAGATGAGCAGCAACAGAACAGTACCGTGAGGAACCAGAGTGGTATGGCCGATCTGCGGAACACTCCACGGGCTCCACTCCTGCCGTCCATCTCCTCGGGCACAGACTCTGAACTGGTAATCAACATTAGGATCGATATGCAGCACCATGAACTCTGTCTCTGAGCCGACATATACATCTTCAAAATGACTGGCAGTACTCTTACGGTATTGCAGGCGGTAATCTTGTGGTATGAAGTCATCATCCACCTGGAGAAACATTTATTGCATTAATAAAGGACCCCCTCTTTTTTTTTTCTTTTGCCTCTGAAGCAGCATATAGTAGGGTAGTACTGCAGGCTGCCAAAGGCAATTCAGAGTCACAAGATATTAAAGAGCAGAAAGCATGCCTTATAGAAAATCAAATCAGTGTCTGAACTACTTAATACAAAAAGAAGTATAAGAATGATTCAATTAGTTTAAAGGTATCTTCAGGAGGAGAAACATTTAACAGAAGGCTTTTCAATCTAGCAGAGATATAACAAGATCCTTCAGCCAAAATTTGTAGAAAAAACAAATTTGCAGAAAAGACAAATTTGCAGAAAAAATTCGGTGCCAGTTTTTAACAGCAAGAGAAACTCACTGTTATCACTCCCTGTTCCAGGGAATGATTTCTAATTCTTTGATATCTCTACGTTAAAAGAGAATTTTATAATTCCCCCCCTCCTCCAAAAGCTCCACTATCCTCCAACCATCACCAAATTCCAGGAAATCATCTATAGCACAGAAAATCAGAGCACATGTGACAACTGCCTACAGTTTTATAATCCGACTCCACATAGTTTACAAGGTAAGAGTGGCTGACCGATGGCTGGCTGTTGCTAGAACAATATAAGTTTGTTTAATGCTGCCAAGGAGCATAGAGCTGTCCAACAACAACTAAACCACACCAGAGCACAGCAGTGATTTACTCAAAAACAGGTTTTGTGTATTGAAGAGAAAGGCTACTTGACTAGCTGATGCCAATATTAAAATGTTTTCCCTTTCTATCCACTGCATCTCCCTAACAACAAACACATTTAGGTGCAAAAGCATAACAGAACAGGTTCAGCCTCATCCTGGGTCTGCTATGAGTCTTCAAAGGGAACAAAAGCATCACCCCAGCACAGGAGCCCAGTCTCACTGAGAGTGTTTGGCACTTGTTGCCACACAAACCAATCACTTGCTTCCACAGCACAAATGGCTACATGCGAATCGCCTGTCAAACACACACAACAGGATTTCTTGGTCTTGTCTGTACAACAGCATCACAGATAGATTACACTTCAATATTGATTTGTTTAGTGGGAAGAGAACATGAAGGAGTTGTTTCCTGCTTGTCCCAGTACCTGGCACTTGCTTAAGCACGGGAAGCAGGGGGAACAGTGTTTCCAGCTGACACTCCTGATTTTCCCACACCTCGGGAAGGAGGTTGTGAGGCAGTGATGCTTCAGCATCTGGGCCCTTTCTACCTGCAGACCGGAGCAGGCTGAGTCCAACAGCAAGTGTTTAACACGAAAGTGTCACTGCCAGGTAGACACAAACCCCAGTGCCAACCACAACATTGCTAGATTACCTTGCCTTTAAATGAGGCCATTACCATAAAAATACCTTCTGAAGTTTCTAACTACACACTGGAGTGGACTATTCATTTGAGGGCAGTAAAAAATCCAGAATGAAAGTGGCTTTTTCAGTTTCTTTCAACAAAACTGAAGTCTGAATGATTTTCACCCAGGGTATTTTACCTACCTTACACCATCGGACTAAAATACCTCCAGGCTTCTCAACAAATTCCTCTAGCTGTACAGGTGGGCGAGATGCCACAGTTCCATGTCTGAATATTTGATTTTTCAATATAGTAAGAAGGAAGTCATCCAACTGGGCAGATAAACAAGGCACGTCAACCAAGGAGGGCACTTCTGGTAAGCTGAGAAAGGAAAGTTTGCTGTAATGAAAGGGGCCAGCTTCTACAAATTCGTATTTTATCCATACACTTGAATCTGTGCAGATTTGCAAAGAGAAAACAGCTGCAGAAATTGGCATGTGCATTTCAAACTTAAAAGACTCGGAAAACACTGTGTTTCAGCCCTAACCAGACTGTCTGTTTCTCAGTAAATACTCTGAAATACAGGCTGTTCCACACATAGTTTCATCGTTCACAAATAAACAGCCTATAGTTCTACAGAACATATGGAGGTTGAAAACTACTCCATTCTGTGACTGCCAGCCCCAAGGGAAGCCTATGAAACAAAGAGGACAGTAGCACCTCAAATGAATGTTTTAAGGCAATTAGAGCAGAAGGCTTTTGTTTCACAGGAGAAAAGATCCCCTATACAAGAGCACATATGTCACTGCCTCAGATCACCTCAGTGTGTCAGTATCTTACCTATCTAGCTGAATATGTAAAGCTTTTTTTGTAAAGCTGCAAAGTTTCTCATTCTGTGGTCCCACATCTCCATGGACTGCACTCTCTCCTGGAATCAAATGGTAAAAATATTCCTAATGAGAAAACATCCAATTAAAGTATTCTTTGCTTTAAACAATAACCAGTTCTGACACGAATAACCAATTAGACATGAAGCATTCTCAGCACTTTTGCTAGACTCTTAGAAAATACAATTACAGTTAACAATATAAAGCCTATCTAGCAACTCTTGAAGGTCTCAAAGCTTCCTGTAGACACACCCATAACGCAATAATTTGCCTCAGGTCTCAGACAGTAGCAGAACTAGGGTCAGATGCCAGAAATCAGGATCATTAATCCCTTCTTCCACCTGCTTTAAAGGAAGAAAAAAGCAAAGCACCTTCACTGCGCAGAAAATAAAAAAGCAGGATCTTAAAAAATAATTTCAACCATTGTTCTATTTGCTACAATCCAAATGGTAACTATTGCCATAGTGAAAGAAATAATCCACGCATTTAAGTGTGAAGATAAATAGAAATCTTTCCATAAGCTTTCCATATAAAGTAGCGTCCCACACTTTAGCTTACAGAGATGTATATTGCTTTCTCTTATCTGATGACTTCATGGTAATTTACAACATAAGCAAGCTCAGTCCTTTTCCAAATGCAGGATTACAATCGTTACAAATCTCTAAAGAAAAGTATACGTCATAACTGGCAGCAGAAGATTTAATAACCACAGAGGCTTAACTCCTTTCTGACTCAGATGCAACATCTGCTCATTTTGACGACATGACTTAGCAATGCTCCTACTGCTACAGAGGGAATGGTGACCCACGAGATAAAAGTGCACGGCTAGTCAGGTTCTCATGAGATCTGACAGACACTTGTACAAAACACAGGTGATCTTTGCCGCCACCCTGTGATTCAGTAACATGAGACATAAAATAAAAACAAGGTGACTACCAGCTGTCCCAGAGGTTGTGGTGCTAGGAAAAAAAAACAAACAAAACAACAAATTAACTCTTAAATATTGTCACTACTCCTATGAGCAGGAGGCGTAGAGCTACCAAGCCAGCATGCTCTAAGCGCAAAGCTCACATCTGAGGGAAAGCTGGTAGCTCTCCTACCCGTGAGAGCCTGCTCAATGCACTTTAGTTTGCAAAACTGAGATCATGTTGAAAGAAAGTTAAAGTTGAGACATGAGAACAATGCAAGGAAACTGCCAACATACTCATGGCTCAGACATGTTCCCAGTAGGTTCTCCAGTGTGGGGAAAACAGTCAAGAGTGACACTCCTTTCTGGCTAGGTATTTAGCATCAGTAGGGTATAAACTGGCCAGCCCTTACAGTAATAATCCACATCCATTTTTGTCTGCCTCATCCTCAGACTTTTGAAGAAATTCTTCCCATACAGGGGCCATTTCATTCCTCATGTTCCCCACCAACTGTAAACATAATCACACTTAGTAGGAAAGATAATCTGTTTACTTCAGCTGCAATTCCACTAAGATACAAATAACTTTCCTCAACAGACACATTTTGTTATTATGGTACCTAAGGCGTATTCTATTTCAAAGTAGCCTGACATAATCCTCTTTCTAGCATGGAGGGGTGCAGGACTCCTCTGCAGTGAGACCTTTCCAAAGTAGATACTTCCTGCCCTTACAGAGAGGCTACACTGATAAATCTACACCCTAGGATTGGAGAAGAATATTTAAATATGGATTTGTAGGAGATAATATTAATCAGCTCTTTACAACATCTACCCAACTTTAACCTTTTCTTAACGTTTGCTTTGAGAGAAGTCAAAAATGAGCCAAATATGCTGATCATAACAGTCTTCAAGAGAAGACACAATGGCAGGTAGACCCAAGACTTAGTATCAGGTCTCCTTACCTTCGCGGAGCAGTTCATCGGCTGTACTGACCCCGTGCTCTATTAGTTTCTGGCATTCATCCAAGGGTTTGATGCTCTCTTGTTCTATAGCATCTACTTCCTGCAGCAGTGACATCAGTCGTTCATCCAGCAGCTTCTTTAGGGTCCCTTTTAAATCATTAAAATGTTGCTCAAGTACATCTCTGGTCAATGTTGCGCTTTCTCTTATCTAAATTCAAGTAAAAGGAAAGAAGGATTCAGGATAAAGACAAAGGCCATGCACATCTTTTCTTTTTTCTGAACCACCTAATCTGCATCTGCTGGTGAAAAGCTGTGTATGAAGTCAGCTTTAAAAAAAGGACCACTGGCAGGTAACAAACTAGTGTAGTAATTTTTAATACACATGCAGCAGGGAAGGAGGCAAAGAAAGTAGCCTGGACAAGGGGATGAGCATATTAACTAAGCAAAATACAAATTGGGTTACATGTACTTCAGTTGAGGAATTTTTCTTGTCAGAAGAGTCTGAATGCTCTGCAGGGCTTTCCCCTGCCACCCCTCAGAACTGCTGTAATTCTATACAAAACACACTCTGCCATCATATACAGGTAATTCTCACTGGAAAGAAAAAGATACCCGGCTTTTAGCAGACTATCTAGAATCACTTTTCCAGACCCTAACACTTCACTGGATTTTAAAAATCCTCATAACGTTGCTTTCTTTTAATTTTTTTTTTTTTTTTTTCAAATCTTTGATTCACTTTCAAATCTTTCAAACCTTTGATTTGTCTGTGCTCCAGAGTTACAGGGCAGGATGAACAGTAAGTCTTTTTTGATTATGGAACTATACCACAGAAGGTTCTGCAAGTACTTATTAAAATGTTTGCAAACTTGCCGAATCTGACTTTTAGAGGAAAAAAAAAAAAAAAAAAAAAACAAACAACCACACACCACATTTGAACACCCATTTGAATGCGTGAACACACGCATTTGAGCTAAAGATGCAAAAGTCAAAAGTAAACATCTCCCTATGAGATGAACAACTTTTCTGAGTCACACACACAAGAAAATTCTGCAACATGCACACAGCGTTACATGTAATTTCTAGATCTTTAGAAGTACAGACAATCAACACAGGAAGTTCTCTGGTTAGGTAAAATAAATTTCCTCTTCAAGCAATATTCATGAAGCTCTGCAGCTGCCCCAGAGCTCGGTTTCCCTTCTCTTGTTATTTCAACACTTGAGAAAAAAAAGGAAGTATTTAGCTTCGTGAAGGGGTGGGGCAAAGGAAGACCAAACAGTCACTTCTCTAAGCCCATTACCTCCATTACATGCAGATATAAATTCAACCAGTCAGCCTCAGAATTACAGATACTACCAGCTACGTAGAAGAGGAAATGCAAGTTCCTGAACACACAGAGCTACATGAAGCTTGTTGAAAATAATGTCTCATTGGTGCAAAAGAAAAGGATGCAACGGAAGTGATCTGAAGTGCTTTTCCTACCAAACCAGCCCACCAGTCCCCAAATAATAAAGCTTCTGCTATATGAACACCAGTCTAAGACATTCAGCACTTCTGGACATAGGGAATTCCCGGATGTGTGTTGCATGGCTGATTCTTTGGGGACAAAATAGTGTGAGGTCCTGAAAATGGAGAGAGAAAACAGAAACATGCACGCTAGAAAAGAAATTCCCCCAGAGAGGAAAAGGAAGGGGAGGTAAGTTAACTAAGTACTCACAGCCACTGCAGAAAGGCAAACTGGCTTCCTCTCAGTGCATTTTGATTCAGCAGGCAACACTCTCAGGTGACAAGGTTTGGATTAAAGACCATCATGAACAATTCATCTTCTTAAGTAGCTTGTGGTTTTGAAGATGACTAGAGTTGATTGCTTACACTCATTCAGTAACAGGACACTAACCTAGCAGATTCGTAGCAGATTTCTATGCTAATGAAATCTCCTCCAGAGAAACTATCAGGTCACCACAGAAACATTTTCTGAGTTTGTTTTTTTTATTTACCCTTACAGAGTTGAATCAAATATAGTAAGACACTGGTTCTGCAAAAACTAAAAAGCTTAGAGGATGTCTTAACAGAGAACCCAGTCCTTCACTGGCTCTCTGCAATCTCCCTACCCGCATCGCATATCTTATCACGCATCTTCAGTGCAGAGTGGGTGGGTTACTAGTCCCAGTGAAAACGCTCCTCTGGCTCCCGTGCACAGCTGCAGAAAAACCAGCTAACCTGGAATGCTGGCAACACTTATATGTGACCCACAAAGTACGTGACCCACAGAGCTTGGTGCATGGGGACAGCAGAGTTCAGGATAGCAGTCAAACTGGAGTGTAACTCGCCTAGGCAGGTAGCTTTTAGATGTGAGGGGAAGAAGACAGACATGACAGTCCCTATGAAATAGGACTTAACATCCAAACTACTTTAGAAAACGTGGTTCCTTTAGACATCTTTATTCTTGCCTAGGAAACCTACCTACCATCACAGAAAACCAGGCTCTCTTCAGTAACAGACCTCACCTCGCACCCCTTCCTCCCTGACACTTTCTACACTCACCCACTCCGGTGCCTGCAGAGGTAACACGCAAGTTTCCCCGACGCGTGGCCAGTCCCCGGGGCCCCCGCAGCCGTCATCCACCCGCCAGGTCCTGCGGAACCCCCTCCGCCCACCTCTTCCCCGACACGACCCCATCCAAGCGCCAGCAGGCTGCTCCGCACGCCCGGGACACGCGAGGGGGGGGGACACACACGCATCAAAACACAGCACCGGGTGAGAAACGCAGAAGCGGGCGGCGCTGCTGCCCGTGGGCCACCGCCACCCGCCGTGGACTGGCTCGGGGGGGGTCCCGGGCCGAGCCACCGCCAGGCCGGGCGGTGCGGGCAAACCGCGAAGCCCCGGGCAGCTCCCGGCCGCTCGTCCCCTCCCGGCCTCGGCGGTGAGCGCCTCCGGGGAGCCCCGCCGCCACCCCTCCCCCGGGTAACCCCGTCCCGTCTCCCCACCTGCTTTCGCGCCTGCTGCAGCCCCCGCAGCCGCTGCTCCAGCTCCCGCCGGTAGCTCCGCGCCGCCTCGATGCTCTCCCGAGCCTCCTGCAAGAGGAGCCGCACCTCGGCCTCGGCCTCCATGGGGCAGCCGCGGCGGCGAGGCACCCGGCGGGGCGGGGCAGCGGCGAGCGGGCCTCGCCCCCGGAAAGGCCCCACATCCGGGCGCCGTGCCCCGCGGGGCGGAGCGGGGCGGGGAGCCGGGGACACACGGACAAACGCGCGGCGCTGCCCCCCTTCAGCGCGTCCCGCGAAGTTTGGCCCCTCCCGCGTGACGTAACGCGCCCCGCCCTCCTCCGCCCCGCGGCGCGAAACCCCGACTGACAGCGGCGAAGCGGGGGGGTAGGGTGGGTGGGTGTCACGTGACCGGGCCCTGAGGAGAGGGGGCGCGGGGAAGGGGCGGGGTGACCGCGTAGCCGGCCCGCGTCACGTGAGAGTGGAAAGCGGGCGGCCGTTGGCAGCGCGGGTGCGTCACGTGGGGCGCCGTGGCCCCGCCCCCTTCCGCGCGGAGGTCCGAATCTTGTCCCGCGCGCGCTTTTCTGCCCGCCCGACTCCCGCTCCTGTCAGGCGGCGGCGGGGCCGCTCCATGGCGCCAGCGCCCGTCTCCTCCCGCGGCTGAGGGCTCCGCTCCCCGCCAGCGCCCGGAGCATGGTGGGCAGGGTCGCCGTGGCCGCGGCGGCCGCGGCGGCCGCCTCCCTCCTTGAGAAAGACGGCGACGCTCAGGTGGGGGTGCAGAGGCGGGTCGGGGCGCCGCGCTCTGAGGGGGTGGAGGGGGGGGTTGTGCGGCGGAGCGGCCTGGGCGGGGGAGGTGGAGGGCGCCTCTTTGTCGTTCGCGCTTGACACAGCGGCTCTGGTGTAACCGGGGGGGACGTAAAACGCCGCCCGGGCGCTGTTGGGCAGCTTCCCGGCGCCGCGCCGCTCGCAGCCTGACGGTCGGTGCTCGGGAGCGCTGCGCAGCCCACCGTCATGAAATGCCTCCTTGGGGCACCTCAGCGGGGTCCCCGGTACCTTTGGGAAGAAGTGTTTCCAGTTTCAGATGATGTGATTTTAGAAAAGTTCAGTTTTTAATAAGCTTGTGAGCCGTCTTTCTTGGGAGTCATAGAACCAGACTCATACAATGGTTTGGGTTAGAAGAGACCTTAAAGCTGACCTAGTGCCACCCCCTGCCCCGGGCAGGGCCCCCTCCCCCCAGCCCAGGGGGCTCCCAGCCCCGTCCAACCTGGCCTGGAACCCTTCCAGGGAGGGGGCAGCCACCGCTGCTCTGGGCACCCTGGGCCAGTGCCTCACCACCCGCACAGGGAAGAATTTCCACCTTTGTACAAATAAATTCTCTTTTTGATTTGAATTATGGTATGAGATTTGAATTCTCTTCTATTAATTTTCTTTAAGTACTTAAAAGTTGTACTTTCTTCTTAAGATATGTTAGATGTTTACAGTAGGATTGTACATCTTTAAGTGATGTTGGAATTCCCTGTTAAATGCTCTACAGATGCTCTGGCAAACATCTCAATGTAACCAACAGGCAGATCATTTGAACTGAAGTAGTCTGTCAGAACTCTAGTATTATGAAATCTCTGTGGAGCTGTTCTGAAGACCTTGTGGTCACTTTCAGTTCTGGCAGTCTCAGAGTTTCCAAACAGGATTTTTATTTATTTGAAATGGCAGAATCTTTATTTCAAGCTTAAATGGCTTTCACAAACATGAAGATAAAGCTGATGTGCACACAGTCTTAGCACACTGGCATGAGTTTTATCCTCTGAAAAAGTACTAGTGTCACTAATATATACTGCAGATATTGTACTGCTTTATATTACCATACTAAATAAGCTTAAGTTTTTAAAAGCTAAGACTGATGTTGAACTTTTTTATAGCCATGCAAGAAACGGCGAGAGGAAGATACTTCTGTAAAAACAATCACACGATATTTTTCACCCTTAGCAAAACCAGTGGATAAAGTGTTGTCACTACCAAAACCCAACAATATATTGGATTATTTTAAAAAGACATCTGTAACTGAGAAAGCTACATTACCAGTTGTAGCTGGAAAAAATAAACCACCATTGGATGCTGATGACAAAGACTGTAAGCCACCTTTTAAACGACGTTTAAAGCAGAAGAGGAAAGGGAAGAGAGTTAATTTAAATAATAAGCTAAGACAGATGAAAGAATCAGAGAATGAACATGAAATGAGTAGTGGTGACAGCAGAGAAGCAACAGGACTGAAACAGGACAGTAATGATTTTATTGCTACTTGTACTTTAGCTGACCAAAAATGTGCAAGAGAATTGGCAGAAGATAATATGCAAAGAGAGAACTTCTCAAATGCTGTCATCCATGAAAAAAATGCAAAGAAAGTTGGTTCTGAAATAAATGGATCAAAAAATAGGTTAAAAAAAACAAGGAAAAGGAAGCACAAAGTAAATATGGATTTGTCTGACAGTTTTTCATCTGAAAACCATCTGAATAAAAATTATAAAAAGGAAACTGAGGATGATAAGAAGATGGTGTCTCCTATAAGAGCAGAGTGTGATGCTACTATTAGTGATTCCACTTTTGAAGTTCATATGGATGATAAGACATCACAGGTAGATAATAGTATTGTAACAGTGTCATTTGAGGACTTCTTGAAAAGTCAGGGAGAAAATTATGTTGATTATGTTGAAGACACAAAGCCAGCAATGGACAATTCTGCTACATCAAATGAAATGGACAAAAGTGATAGTATTGATGACCCAGAAAAGTGTGAGGAATCTCAACAGCTACCACTTAGAATAGTAACTGTCCTTGCACAAGTTCATTCCATTCCCCCAAAATTAGCTCCATTACATAAGGAGCAAAAAGGCTCTAGGAAAATAGCTTCAATTTTTTTGAAGCAGAAAGGATGTGTAGGGGAAAAAGAAAGTAGCCCACCCCTTTTGGACAGTGAACAAACTGAACAGGTTACTCAGAAAAGAAAATCTAATGTAGTTATTGAGGAAGAAGAATTGGAGTTAGCTGTACTAGAGACTGCAGGGTCAGATTCTTTGAGGTCAAAATGTACTCTGGAAGAAAGGCACCAGTTTATGAAGGCGTTTAGGCAGCCAACATCAGATGTAATAAAAAGTGGAGTTAAAAAGATACCTGGAAAACAGAAGCAAACCATTGGAAAGTCTTCAAAAGACAAAGAAGGACCTGAAGATGACACTGCTTCAGATAAAGTATTAGAAGGTGGAGTACCAGAAGATTATGTGGACAAATATACACATTCTAATCCTGAAAACAATAGAACTAAAACTAAAAGACCTAAAAAGTTTCAGACAAAAGGGAACAGAAGAAAGGCGGCTTCAGAAACTAAGGAAACTAATTATAATGAAGATGAGGATTCAGGAGCTAATGTTCTTACTCAGGAAAACACAAACACCTTAGATGTCAGTATTTCATCAAGTCCAAAAGTGAATGAGTTAAGGAGGAGTTTAAGACAGAAGAAAATCAAAACATCAAAAAATGTTACACCTGAAAAAAACAGGATTAGAAATACCTTTTCTGAAGATGAATTTGGTGGGTGTCCTTTACAGGCTTCTACACCAAAAGCAGGCAAGCAATCCTTGAAGAAAAGTAATGTGTATAAAGCTGAGGTGATTACTGTGCCCTTTGATGGAAACAGCCCAATAAGGTAAACATTTTAGAGCATATTCTACCTTTTTGCATTTTGTTTTCCTGCAAGTATTTTAAGAGTAAGCCATAATTATAAATTGATTGGAATGCATACCAAAATTGCATGAATACTGATCATGGTGGATAATAATGCAGAAGAACCAAAGCTGACTTTATGAATATGTTTGCACTACAGACATTAGAAAAAACAACCAACCAAACAACAAAAAACAAACAACCACCCACCAGTTGGGGGTTTGCTTCTGTTTGCATCACTGTATTTTAAACATTTTTGAAAATGAGATTGAGAGTAACATTTGCCTTTCTTAAAAAGTAAGAACTTCATACTACTTTTTTCCCTAATTAGAATGAGGTTTACACGTATCAATGCGACTACCAAATCAAATAAGGCTGAAGCAATGAGAAATGAAGAGTTTCATTCCAAAAATATAAAGGTAATTTATGTAACAGTTTATTTCTGTATTTTTTCATTTACTATTTGCATGTAATTGTGTTACTATTCAGTATTGTGTAATAGTCTAATGTAGTACAATATGACTTCTCAGATGTCCTACGGCAAGAGACTTGCTGTGATTTATGATAGAATTTGAGATAGTTTCTCATACAGCTATTGTACCTTAGATTTTAAAATATGTTTTATTAGTGTAAATCTACTTTTCATAACATTACAGAAAAATCCAATAAAATAGTATGCTCATGTTCTGCAGGTTCTCAGGATGGGACATAGTGTTTGGGTACAGCAGAACAGCTTATGCTTAAGGTCACTGCCCGTATTTCATTTATTCTGTGGACAAACTGGAGGATTCCCTTGTAGGGCTTTACCTTTTTGAAAGTATTTATATAATCTTGGTTTGTTCCTTCTTTTCATCCTTTTTCTTTTAGATACAAATAAAACTTTATTTAAAACATATGCTTTATGAATGTGAAAAAATATATTAATATGGGAAATACCAATATATTGCTAGTAATTGGTAGATATTTTGGTTCTTTTGTACTTTGCTAACAGATAAGCTCTACTTCTAAAAGTATATCCAAAGCGAAACAGCTGATTGAAAAAGCAAAGGCTATACGGCATAACAGATCAAAGGTTAATGAAGACTTACCAAGTCCTGTGAGGCGCTCATCTCGACAGCTAGCTCTTGTTGAAAAGAAAAAATTAGAAGAAAATGAAGTAAGCCTGTGTAGTTTGTAGAGGAAAAAAAAATGTTTTGATGTTTTTGTGACTGATTTAAGCAACAAAAATGTTTCTTATCTTGCAAATGTTTCTTTCAAAGAATCAAATAAGGTAGGTATCTGTGCAATTGTATGGTGAATGTCAAAAAGTAAGTGCCAGGCATAGACTAGAAAGCTCATCCTGATGCAGATCTATAACATGCAGCAGATGGTCATACTTTAGAAGTGACTGGTTTTCTTTCCTAATGGACAGCAAGGTATCTGCTTCAAATGTATATTATTTGAGAGATTCTATATATTTTTTTCTGTGTAAACACTAATAAAAGGATTGTATCATCTTCACATTATATTTGCTAACGTCTAAGTTCTCTAGCACTTTCTTCACTTTTCTCAATACCAATCATTAAATTGTATTGATAATAAAGGAGGAAAAGTTGTGTTTCCTTTCTTATTTTATTTGCCTTCCTTCTAGGAATCAGTAGTAATTTTAGATTCAAGCCTGAGTAATGACATTACTACAGTGCAGAATGTGAAGCAAAAGAATCTTCGGAGCTTAAATGATGTTTTGGGGAAAAGGTCTAGAAACTTGAAGGTTGCGAAGAACTCAAATGGTAATTGGATTTTACTGAATTGGTTTAATTTTTAGTAGTTATTGACTATTATAACTTTATTTTATAGAGCTGCCTTTGCAGTACACTAATCTTCTGATTTTTTTTATATAGTATTTCAATATATACACTTTATTTTTATGACATGAGTTAATAGTGCAGAGGTTATTTACATGTCCTGCTTTGCTTTTTCTTCATTCAGGGAAAACTATGTTACAGAAGCTAATGTCTATAGTGATGAAATTACTAGAAATAAAACTATAAGGAATTTTGTTAAAATATTCAGCTTTCACTTAAGGAGATTCCCTAATGTTATTAAATGGCACATATAGATAGCGAACAGAGAAGAAAGATTAGAATCCTATATCAGTGCTAATCTAATTATGATTTTTTTTTTTTTTTTTTTCCCCTCTTTAATGGACAACTGGGACATGCATCTTCCTCCCTAGGCAGAAATGTTCGAAATTCTGCAGGTGAACCAGCTGTGATCTTTGATGAAAGCAGGTCAGTTTTTAAGATTGCAGTTGCTTAAGAGTCAAGATGTATGTCAAGGATAATTTAACATCTCATTTTACAAATTTAAATACACTTATTGAAATGTGATATGTTTTTTATACTGATCAATATGTTAATTTGCTTGCAAAATTTTGGGGGTTTTTTTGAGATTTTTTTCTTCAACCTTTGCTAAGCCATTTCAGATGGTTGAAAATTTACTTGACTGATTAAAAAGAAATCCTAAATTGCATATAAAAATACAAAGCCAAAGAGGATGGTTTTCTCTTTTAATTAAAATCTCTAACACAAAATTTTAAATTAAATTTAAACTTATGCATGTAAATTAATTTTAGTAGTTCTCCCAGAATATTTCCAACTCATCTGTAGAAGTGAATGTGATTAAATTCTGTTGTAAGCCTTACATAGCTGGTAGTTCTAATGTTTTTGTTTTTGTTTTTTTTCAATTTCTATCTTCATTAAAGCCAAGATGCATCTGAAAATTCTCAAGATGGTGATCAGTTCAGAGCAAAACGTGAATTCTTGATGAGTGGATTGCCAGAGTCACTGAAAAGACAGATTGCAAAGAAAGCAGCAGCAATGGAAGCATACTCTCTTTCAAGTTCATGTTTTAAGACTGTTGTCCATGTACAGCAGAAGGATGACTGTAAGCTTTTGTTCAGCCATTGTGTAAAAGTATATAATAACTTCTAGTAAATCTGTGCAGAAAAGAAATTTCAACATCAGGACTTACTATTACGATTGGAATAATTGATAGTTCCCTCTTGTTTTGTGTTGCAGTAAGAAAAAAAAACAGGCTTCCAGTGAGATGTTTTTGAATACACAATTTACAAATTAAATTGATGCTAAAGTAATGTATACATTTATGGGTGAGGATGCAAAATACTTCATATTTAGTTTAAAAGTTAGTCTTTCAAGTTCCAGTATGGAGAATAAAGATCATGTTGGACTGACTGGAGCGGAAACCATTTTCTTCTGACAAAGGTAAAATATTTTTCAAAAGAGAAAAGAACAGCCCATTTCTTTCCACTAAGTGAGGGAGTGTGCTACAATGTTTTTATCAAAGGGCAAGAGAGAAATGCAGAAGGTAGAATAACACTTAACAGAGTTCATATTTGTAAACCAACCAATAAACAAACAAAATCCTTGGTGAGCATTTGTCTTGCAGAGACCTGGTGGTGCACAGGTTGTTACTTAGAGCAAGGAGAGCCCAGGAACAACTTACTGGAGCAATGTTGTGTGCAAACATGTGCAAATTTGTTCTACTTGTGTAAGTTAAATAAGTTTGGCTTTGACATGATAAAGCTGTAGTTAAAAGAGCATTTACTATCGATTACTGTGGGATGGTTTTGTCTGTGACTGTTATCTGCTTTGTTAACAACGGTTGCTTGTTGTTTTGTTTTTGGTGGGGGTTCTTTTGTAGGTTATCCAATGTGGAAATTGAAATCACCATCATGTCCTCTATTAACTAAGCTAAAGGAACTGAATACTGAAGTCACTAACGTCACAAAAATCACTCTCTCACTTGGTGAATTTTCCACTGTGAATACAAAACTAACCGGAAACTGTTCTGCACCTGTGGTGAGTACTTTAAAAAGGGGGCTTGTGTTACAAGAAAAATTAAAATTTAAATTGTTTTGTTATTTGCTAGGGCTTTTGTTTTAAAAAGTTCTGTAGTTTGAATCTGTGTCAGTCCTGGATTATTTTTTTTTCTGGTGTGTAATTCACCCATTCTGCATCATAACATAAGATAATTCTCAAGGCTTTCTGTTAATCTCTGGGTTTAACAAGACAGCTCCCAATTTAAATTATGCAAAACCATCATTGTTATTCTGTGTAATATTTTTCAAGAAATTTATTTTTTTTTTTTCTCTGTTTGTGTGTTGCAGCTTTCTGGCCACCGACCAGTTTTTCCTGATACTTTCAGAGAAGATTTACTAGATGAGATTGTGTCTTCTAATTCTCAATTTCCTGTGAGAAAATACTTCTACAAGTTTCTGAAAAAGCAAACGGAACAGTTGGTTTTTGAAAATAGTATACAAGGTTAGTAATTTATGTAGGGAAAAAGAAATACATACTCATGCTCTCTGGCAAAGAAAGGCAACTTGGAATTTCCAGAAATGTTCCAGTGGAGGAATACTGTTTTAAATAAAATGGCCCTCATATTTTAGGTCATTTTGACCAAATTCTTCAAATATGGCTTAAGCAAAGTTAGGTTTTTAATGGACATAGCTTGAAATTTTAAAAGGATGTAATTTTTTTTTTCCCCTTAGAAAGCATAAATGTCACTGCAAGTTCTGAGATAAATCAAAAACATTCTGACAATTGGAAGGAAACTAAGAGGAAAAGGAAAGAAAAAGAAGACCACAAATCAAAAAGAAGAAAACAAATTGAAGGTACAGAGACTGAAATAAAATCCAGAGTTTCCAGGAACCTTATTTCTCCCTTATCTGGAGAAAAACAAGAAGAGGTAGGACAAGCAACACATTTGGGAAAAAACAAAACCTGGAAACAAGATGTTATGCCAGAAGACACTGAATATTTATTAGAGCCAAATGCACTTTCAGGTAACTGCATTTCCTGTCTGATTTTCTCTTTGCTCTGAGGGAATGTATGTATGATGTATGTCAGCTTTCCACTGTGATGCAAAAATCGTATCTAGTCTTAATATTCTACTAGACTTGATCAACTCTTTTGCATGAAGAACTATTTAAATATTGGTATTTTTTCTGTAGGAGTTGAAAAGGAAGACATACTCTGGACAGAAAAATATCAGCCTCAAGATTCCAGTGAACTTGTAGGGAACAAGAAAGAAATCGAAAGGCTACACAGGTCAGAAGTGAGAGCATGGATCCATTCTTAAAATAACTGAAAACATCCTATTATTTAATTATGCTCAAAGAAGTGAAGTCAGTTATTTTACACTATGCTTGAGTAACACTTACAGGGCGTATGTTTGTGGCCTTTATTTTGGTTTACTTCCAAAAAGTTGTGGAAACAAATTGTCAGTTGGTGTGAAAGATCTTTTTAACTAATGCCCTTACAATTTTAGTAACAATTATTTTTGTCAGGTTATTTAAGTTTACACACTATGAATGAGAGCAACTTAGCAGTACAAGCATACCTGATCCTGATTTTGATTCACTGCCTCTGCTTTTGACAGTAATTTAGCGCTCAAGTTCATCTAATATATTGTGCTTTCAGTTAAATTTTCTGTGTGGGTTTCAAGTTATTGTTGTGGTTCTTAAGCAGAATTTAAAGATCCATCTGATAAACAACACTAAACTATGAATGATAAGGCATTTTCCACAGTTTAAGTAGTTCAATAAGTGACTTGTTTTTACACCAATCAACTACTAAAACAGAGAATGAAGAAGGAATCATTTTTTACAAAAGAATCAAACAAACCTTGACGATTTTTATTTTTTTTAAAATCTGAAAGGACTTGATATGTTTCGGAGAGGGATAACAAGTGGCTGATGTCCCCTAGTTTTACGTTCTGTTTCATCTGAATTTGGTTGATTTTATTCAGCAGTAATATTTATTCTTTGTTCTGTTCCTTCCTTTTATAGTTGGTTAAAAGAATGGAAAAAAAGAGCTGATTGGGAAGAAAAAAGAAACTGGAAAGGAGAAAAGGAGGAAAAAGAGCATCAAGGTGCTGATAGAATTAAAAATAATATATATCATTTCTTTTGTTGAGGCTGGCATAAAAATGACATGAATTCATAATGGTTTGAACAAACTTTTCTTTTAAATAATTCCACAGATTCTTTGGACAGCCTTGACTTCGAAGATAATAAAACTGATTCTGAGGAAGAGACTAGCCTTTGCAATACAGTTTTGATAACTGGACCACCGGGCGTGGGGAAAACTGCCGCAGTATACGCTTGTGCTCAGGAGCTTGGTTTTAAGGTTTGTGGAGTGTGTTTCCTCAGTGCTATTTTTCTTATTTGTAACTAGTGATATGAAAACATTGCTTTTACAAGCTGTCTAAATTTTTTATAAATATAAGTTAAATATCATTGCAGATATTTGAAGTCAACGCCTCTTGCCAGCGTAATGGTAGACAGATACTGTCTCAACTAAAAGAAGCTACTCAGTCTCATCAAGTGGACAAAAAAGGCATTAATGCTCATAAGCCTTGTTTCTTTAACAGTTATAGCAGTGCCAAGTCACCAAGTAAGTTTCATAGTTATACCTGGGGTTTTTTGTTCTGGGTTGCTGTTTTGTTTTGTTTTTAGGAACTTAGTTCCCAAAACAGTTTTTAGACATAAGTTGTTTTAAAAAAGATAGCAAATTTCAGCTTATCTAACAATAAGAAATGCTCTGTTGGTTAATGCAACTACATAACAAATTAAATAATGACTGTCAAAATGACTGACTCTTGATTATTTTAAGTTATTTCTGTAGTGGTGGAGTAAGTGCTATGGCACTTGAATAGAAAGTTGAACAGAAAGCATTCCCTATAAGAAGAGAAAAGTAAAATAAGCAGAAATTAGCATAGTAAACCTGTCCTGTCCTAGATATATAAATGGATTTGCTCTAAATTTGCCTGAGAAATGTCAGTTTGAGATTACATTTCCAGCTTAAATTTAATATAAAACATACCTTGCAGAAAAAATGTATTCTCCAAAGAAAGTTATTTCACCAAGAAAACCTCCACTGTCACCAAAAGGAACAGGATTAAAACGAAGCTTACCCCCTAAAACACTTGCAAACTATTTCAAAATTTCTTCCAAACGGAAAGGTAATGATGGAGCAGTAGCATCTCAAGAAAAAAACAAAGGTAGGTGTCGCTATTTAATAATTAGTTACCTTTGGAGGTGGAAAAGCTACACTATACTACTATATATGTGGAGCTGTGTGGAGAAAAGAGTAGACTACACTTACTCTAACTGCTGTCAGGAGTTGCTTAATGCATCTCAGGTACACTTAACTATATAGGAAGTAGTCATTAAATTGCAGGAGGGTTAACTAAGGTACAGATGATCTGAAGTTCAGTGGGCTTTCCTTAGTTGTTTGGGTTTGGTTCTTTTTTTCAGAGCATTTAGGTAAGAAGAAGGTAAGTTAAAAACTGTCTAGAAAAACACACCTTTGTATTACGTCAGTGCCTGTTTCAGATTGGTGTGAACTAGACTGCCACAGAATTAGAAGGTCCCGTAAAGCCAATAAATGTTTGATTACAGATCGTGGATTTTAATATATAGAAGGGCATACTGAAATCTTTGTATTTCTTAATACTGGAAGGTATATTTCCAAATGTTCCATGGACTCAGGAGGCATTAAAGACATGTTTTTAGAAAGGAAATAATATATTTGGACAACCAGTATTTCTGCACAGACAGTACAGAGGAATGCATGAGCAAAGTGCTGGATAGAATTGGGGCAGTTGAATCAAGTCCTTGGCTTTTCAGGCAGTCATATTGCATTGTCTTGAAGGACTTTTATCTTTTCCATGCCCTTGAGACATCATAGGTCACAAACAGGTTAGGTACAGAATTAATTCAACAGATAGTCAGCCATTCAGCAATTATGGTTGCATTCTCAACAGCTTTGTTGCCATTTTTTTTAAACAAGAGATATCTGCAGAGGATATAGGTGAGACTTCTAAGTTTTTGTGTCAGTGTAGATTTTTCTTAAGCAGTTTATACATGGGGTGTTTTTGAAACCACTGTCTAGAATGCATATTAAATGGTTTCAGTCCTCCTTTGCTTCCTGCTCAACTCTTCACTCATCTGCAGGAAATACTCAGAATTCACGTGAGGAAAAGAAAGATGTGCAAATTAAGTCAATAAACAAAGAAGCAGAAGGAGGAGAACACAACGGAAAAAGTGCAACTTCTCTCATTCTTTTTGAAGAGGTAAAATTCACATGAAATATATTGATGTAAACAATACATCCTTTCAATATGTTTAAAGAATTTTAAGCTTTTTTTTCCCTTCCTCCTTGAGACTTCTAGGTAGATTCAAGTGTGAGGATTATTAACTTCTTAAATATTAATTCAATGTTTAATGATTTCATCCTCATGGGTACTTTTTTAACCATGGATCATTATTTTACAAAGTTATTTGAAAAGATAAAGAAACTATCAACAGTTCACTGTTGGAACAGTTTGCAGGATTCTGCTAATTTAATTCCTTTGATTATGTCAAAAGTGTTGGTTTATACTTTTACACTACTTACATGCACTGAGACACTTTAAAAGTCACCGTTAGCACCACAGTAATTGTTATATCTAAGCCCACATTATTTTCTTTAATCTCTTGCCCAAATATGTCTGAGTCTTAAACTAAGAATACAAAATTGCAGCCAAGAATGTAATATTAAGTAAATAAAGGAGGTATAGCAATGTTGTCAAATGTGGGTTGATCCTACAGATCACTGTTTTTTTTATTTTTAATCACTATTAAAAATAAAAAATAAACTTCAAAACCCACCAGGACACGGCCCTGGGCAACCTGCTCTAGGTGACCCAGCTTGAGCAAGGGCATTGGACAAGGTGACCTCCAGAGATCCCTTCCAGCCTCAACCAGTCTGTGATTTTGTAAGCCTCAGCACAGGAGACTGTGTTTGAAGTGGCGAGTGCTAACAAGTGAACATCACACAGTATGACTGCATTCATAGCTTGTAGCTCTTGGTAAAGCTATTGATAGTTTGCACTTAATTTGTTTTCTATAGGTAGATATAATATTTGATGAAGATGCAGGATTTTTAAGTGCAGTGAAGACATTTATGGCAACTACAAAGAGACCTGTAATTCTTACAACCAGTGGTGAGTAGTGTTTGTTACAGTAATTAGACTTTACAAACAGAAGAGTCTCTTTAGTAATAGGGTTTAAATGATGATGGTTGAATACATCTCCTAAATGTAAAATTAAATGAGTGGAGACTATAAAGTGAGTATTTTAGTATTTGAATAAAGATACAGGCTGTTCTGATGGGTAAAGAAAATAATTAGTTTTGAACATGTCATGACAGTTCACTGATCTCTTTATATAGATCCAACATTCAGCTTAATGTTTGATGGCTATTTTGAAGAGATCATCTTTAGAACCCCTTCCTTGGTAAGTGTGTTTAGAAATGCAGATATGTCCTAAGCAAATAACTGTCAGCTAATTTAAGTTTGAAATTTAAATGTTGGTATATAGGTTTATGTTTATCTGATGTAATATATCATTTTCATCAGAAGACTGGTTTTGGGGGGTTTATGCAGAGGTGTGTAGGATGTATTTATCTTTACATGTAGAATTCTTTTTTTACTAGCATGGAAGAGTTACTTTCTTAACAATTTAGTATTTCAGGGAATTACAATAATAACATCACTTCATCACTTAATTTAGTTTTTAGGATGTAGTAAATAATTTCATAGATGATATATCTAATAGTTTTGATCTGAAGGCTGACTATGCCAGTATTGGTTCATTCAATAAAAAGTGTAGGAACTGTTCTAGAAATAATATGGGTTATTCCTTTAATGTTAACAGTAGTATTCTGTATAACAAATAGTTTTATCTACAGCTATGTATTATATGAAAAACTTAAATAAATGAGAATCAGAAGGAACTAACTTTTGAGAGGGAGAATTTTTTAATGTGAAATTGAAAGTCTTTTGGGCTACCAGACAATTACAGAGTTAAAAGAAAGAAAGAAAAACCTTTAAAGCAAATATAGTTTACTAAAACCTGTTCACTGGTGATGAGACACAAGGTGTACATGGTTTCAGGAACATAAGCAGAATATGTGTGTTTTGTTTTTAATGAGTTGAATTTGTAAATTGAACTTCATTATCTGATGTGGATTTAGTATAGCATTCTGCTCTTCTGTGGAGTTTTTCTGATGTAACTATAGTCGAATTTAATAAACTAATCTGTATTAAAAGGAAAAATTGCAAGCATAAGTAGAAGAGTTTGCTTTTGCGTGATGTATTGAGTCTGACTGGTAAGAGTTGTTTTCAGTGGTCTGTCTAACTTTCGTTTAGATAAATGCTGCTAGCTATCTTCAAGTGCTGTGTCTGGCTGAGAATCTACGAACAGATGTAAAAGACTTAGCTGCTCTGTTAACAACAAATAACTGTGATATCAGACAAAGTGTTCTCTACTTACAATTTTGGGTTAGAAGTGGAGGTGGATGCTTGAAAGACAAATGTTTGGCACATGGTAGGTTAATTTTTTTAAAAATCTCCATCTTAACATGAATTTGATTAAATCAAACCATTCTTAGACATGTATGAATTGATGGTAACTTTCTGTAAGAATCCTACTAAACATTTGGAGGGGAGGGGTTGACTGCTTCAAAGCCTTGAAAGTTTGATTTTTATTGCACTTCTTAATTAGGTACCATAATGATGGGTACTTTCCTCTTCTGAGTATCAATACTGGACAGAGCAGGGAGCCAGTAGTAGTTTCCCTTCAACTGAGAGTTTCAGTTCTTTATCTATTTAGCTGAGTTATAGGTAATTCATCTAGAAGAAGTGGAACTGAGAAAGGAGAAAAATTGGACAGCTAGCAAGTAGGCAGCAGTCCTAGGGGATACGGGAAGAGTGTCCGCAGCAGGTGTGGGTGTGTGAGACAGTGTGTGAGGAAGTGAGAGAGAGAGAACAGTGGGGCATGAATGGAAGAACAGACAATTTCAGATGGTTACTTGCAGAGAGGAGAGTGGGCAGATTGGTAACACTTAAAGAAGTTAAATGGGGATGATGAATGGGGTTGGGGATAACTAATTTCAGTTGTTATATGAATTCAGAACTGCAGCAAAAGACAAAAGTTACAGTATCCTTTATAAAAGGAATTGAGTCAAAGAGGGGAAGAATCAATTTGATGCAATTTTTTCTTTTCAAGTAAAGCCTGTTCTCTTTGTGCAGGAGGAGATGATACGAATGAAGTGGATCACGTAATTCATTCTGAAAAGGCTACCGATTCCAAGATTGATTTTTCTCAAGCTGATGCACGTCTTCAGGAGCTTCCAAAATGTGATACAGGCTGTGTAGAGACGTTGCTTGGCCTTAAGAATATCCTGTTGCCCTCAGAAGATTTGCTTACATTTCTTAAGGTATTTTTGTAGTTGACTAGCTAGTACTTTGAATGATTGATGGATAACTGAGTGTAATCATTACTGTGAATAGCATCTTGGAAGCAAATTTCTTTGAAAAGGTTTGTTGTAGCAGTTACGGAATTCTGTCATTATTAAGTAAAATCTGAAGTGGGGCAGTCTCTTGCAAGCAAAACACTCCCTTGCCTCATAGACACAAAGCAAGGAGTATGAGATATTCTGTAATAACATTTTTATTTTAAAAAATATTTTAATGTATTAATACATTTTTCACAATTACTATTTTACAGCACAAAATCACAACCATGGACAAATGGAATAAATTGATACAGCTTCTCACAGAATTCCAGATGAAGAACGTGGATTTTATATATAGTAATCTTGAACTTATTCTTCCCTTACCAGTGCAAGTTCTTTCAAACCAGTCTGAAGCCTCTAACTCTATACTTGAAAAGACTACCATAGTTTCTTCAAAAAACAGATCTACTAACAATTACTGCCCTAGAAAAAAGTCTAAAAAGACAAAGAACCAGAAAAGGCTTGAAATACTGGATGATAGTGACTTATTTGATACTGAACTGAACTATTCAGCTGAATTCATAACCTTGCCATTGGGTAGTCCTCCATCATGTACTGAAGTGAATAAAGAGGAATCAAAACTGCTGATGAATAAAGAAGAAAATAAAACCTCAGCAAATGAGAAAAGGTCTGCTTTTGTTTTTCAGTGTCTGAATTCACTGACTGAATTTGTGGAGAACATGTCTTTCTTGGATTGCTGTGTAAACACTAACACCAGGGAACCACTGGAGTTTTCTACAGATGAAGGATTTAACTGGACAAATGGCAAAATCAAAAATGGTCTTTGTGATGAATTCAGTATAGAAAATACTGATTGGTGGAGGTCCCAGAGCTGTAGTGAAATAAAGGCAGCTATTGAAGCGCTCAGTTTTAACAAATGTTCTGCTAGTATTTCACAAAACTTGGAATCCTCTTTGAGTACCAGTAAAACACCTGAAAATGATGAACTGGAGGGACTTACCTTGCGTATTTCAAACACAAGAAATTATGTATCCTTCAGTCAGTCGGCTGATCAGAGGTAAGACCTTGCTAATATTTCTGGAATATAACACAGTGTTATTTGTCAAAAAAAGCATTTAACAAGGTATGGGACTGTTCCACATGATATATATACACACTCATATAATATTGTTCAGGAATGGTAGCCTTAATCTAGTCTATTGAAAAATGAACAGACAAACACCATCACCACCCCCAAAAGAATAACAGAAACCCAAAGGAATGGCTTTTTCAAGACAAACAGATGGACTGAAATTAATTCTGCAAGCACTAGACATGCAAATTTTTTATCCAGTACCTGGTCATATTGAGCCTGTATTAAATATGTGGGTGTTGCGTGATGAATATTTTTGCAGTAACTTATGCTAACGAAGAATAACCCTTAATATATAAGATCAAATAATACATTGCTTTTAGCAAGTGTGGATATGAAAGATTGTTTTTAACATAAACAAGTCAGCATACATGAGATCGGCATAATAGGTGAATAAAAACTATTCAAGTGTCAGAATAGGAAAATACGTTAGACTCTTATTTCTGTAAGTCAGTACCCAGAGGAGCAAGGTCAAAATGGATCTAACCTGTGACCAAGTTTGGCCAATATATCATGAGTTATACATTGAATCTGATACTGACATTCTGGCAAATAGCAACTGTATGGCGCTTTTTATTTTTGAAGACCACAGATGCTTCCAATTACATTGTCTGACGGATATACTAAACCTCAGATACATAACTAGATTGTGAAGACCTTCCCAGATTAGACACCATAGTTGATCTACAAGGATTGGCCAAACAATCTTCTGTCCCTCATATTTCTGTCTCTCATGCAGCTTTGTGATGCTGTGTGAGCAGCACACAATTAGAAGTTGCAGGCATCTAATCCATTGGGATGCAGTTTCAGACATCAGTATGTTTAACAGTTTTAAACCAGTAGATTTGATCTTAAAGGAACAAAATAGGGACTGCACATTCTTGAACAAGAAACACTAAAGCTTCGTTCTCCATTTTAGCATTCACAAAAAAGCACAGAAGAGGATGGCAGTCATCAAAACTGCATTTTCCAGAAGTCCTTTAAACCTGGGTAATAAGCAAGCCAGCATACTTGAATACCTCCCCACTCTTCGCAGTATCTGTAGGTCTGAGAAGCTTAAAGAGCAAGGGAAGACTAAAAGAAGGTAAGTTTTGGTTTTCCTAAATCTTGCTACATGTCAATATACAAGACAGTTAAGAATTTTAATCGAATATTTTGTCAAATAATTCTAGACAAGAAAGGTGAACATTTGCCTCTCCAAATAATAGAAGTGTTGCCTTGTATTTGGAAATAACTTTGTCCCCTTATAGTAACTTTTACTTTTATTTTTACAGATTCTTGCATTATCTTGAAGGGATTCATCTTGAAATACCCAGACAAACGATAAATGGTCTGTCTTTGGACTTCCCTTAAAAATACTAAAACCAGAAATACTTTGTGCCTAATGGTGGTATTCTCACCATAGTTTGATTTTTATTTTTTTTTACCACATTATTTTATTGTATATTCAGAGCCATTTGTATATTAAATTTCTAAGTATTTAAAACAATGTATATATCTATTGTCATGCTATTGCTCTCCACAACTGAAATGTGGATTTGTTTGGTGCATGTCCAATAAATGCATTTATAATATTAAATGTACAATTTAATCAGTGGGGACTACTTCATGCTATCTTTCTCTGTAATTTGTGTATCACATAGCAAGAAGTCCTTTTGTAACAACCAAATGTCACAACTTGCACAGCAAAGTTGCTTTTTTCTGAGGAGACTGTTTTATTAAAATAAGCTTCTTTCTCTCTGAATTTGCAGTTAAGTGTTAAATAACTTGGGATGGGAGGGGGCAGGGAGAGGATGGGGCAAGTCTTTACAAAGCTGGATGCTTCAATGTACATGTATTTGTATACATTAATTTCATTATTTACAGCTGTCAGATCTGCATGTTAATCTCCTAAAAAGGTAGAGAAATTATTACTGTAGCTCAAGATGGTCTCAGAGATTAGGTAAGATTTTGTAAATAACGATTACTCCAGTGTTGCTTTGGTTTCAATAACATTTAACTACTTCTAGTCTTGTATATTGTGTTCTATTTTTATACTTAATTTTGTATTTGACAAGACTTCAGCCTGATTATTTGTGACTGAATCTGTTTTTATACAACAATAAATTTGTGAGACTTTGCTACAATTCTGAATATTTCTGTTGTATGAAGACTCCTAAAACTTCTTTTTTAGTCCACAATGTTTAAGGGTTTTTTAACTGGAAATATTGCTATCATGGACTTTTCCACCTTTATATTGCAGCTGAACTGTTCCTCTTCCTCAAACTGAGTCAGATTGGTACCATGCAGTGGTACTCCACTTACCTCAATGTCTCTGTAATAATAAGGCAGGCCATTTTGTAGTACATTCTGTTCTCATCTTATATTTTTCATGTCTTAAAGATGTTCAGGAATGAGAAATATTTATGAAAACAGTAAATTATTTTGTTTCCACATTGTAGATAATATTCTTTATAGCTTACTCTTTCTGTAGCCCAGAATTATCAAATAAGAATAAAATGAAGTGGTGGCTGTTAAAATTTTAATGAGTTGTGTTGTATCAATGGTTTAAGCAACTCCTGTACATTTTTGTAAAAATAAATACATTTTTGAAAATTTTTAAAATAAAAAAGTGTATCTGTTCACTTCTTTATAAAGGCAACCTCAATGTAACTAGATTACAGTGGGGACTTGCATAAATTGAGAACATGCCCCATAAACTATTATTATTTTAGGAAATCTGTAGGTTATTTAAAAGATATAAAGTAGAAAGCAATGGGAGACAACTTACCTCCTTTTGAAGTCTGGTTCTTATAACTATCTTCAGATTTTTTTTTTTCATAGAATCTCCAGGCTGTAGTGTCCAGAAGGAGTCCAAAATGTAAGGTGCAATCAGAATCACAGAATACCCAGTTGTAAGGGACCTCAAGAGTCATCTGGTCCAACCTTTCTTGGCAACCAAATGGTCTAGATAAGATGGCCCTGCACCCTGTCCAGCTGAATCTTAAAAGTGTCCAATATTGGGAAACCTACCACTTCCCTGGGGAGATTATTCCAGTGACTGATTGTTCTCTTTGTGAGAAATTCACCTCTTCTGTCCAATCTCCCCAGGAGTAATTTACACCCATTACCCCTTGTCTTTTCCAGGTGACTCCTTTGTAAAAAGGGAGTCTCCATGTAGTTTATAGACACCCTTTAAATACCAGAATATGATGATAAGGTCATCCCCTAGGGCTCCTTTTCTCAAGGCTGAACAAGCCCAATTCTCTCAGCCTTTCCTCATGTGGAATTCAAGTAAACTTCTTGATAAGATACTTGTGTGCAACTACCACATAAAACCAACTCAAGCTAGTTTGAATGAAGGATAATCTATCTGTGATGATTTATTTGAACTCTAATAAACTAGCAACTCGGCATTTTTTTTTGCATCAGGTATGAGCATGGTTTCTATGCTAGGAGAAAGCAAGTTTCCATGAGGAACAGGCTGGTCTTGAGGAATAGAGATCTGGGGTTACTTTTGATCAACTCAGCTTAAAAGGAAGTGCTTTACAATATCAGTTCCAGTACTGCCGAAGTCACCTACCTTTGATTTACAATTTTTTCCTGCAGTAGTTTGGGTCCTGCTTAATCCTTAATCCTGCCCACCTAGCTAGCTTCTGCATTTTATGTAGTAGTGCACATAATGTGTTTCAGCAGTGTGTAAGTATAAGTAAAACCAAGCTGCTTGCTGAAGCAGAAAACAAAACGTAAACATCAGCTTCAGATATCTTGGGAATGATTGAAGATACCTGGAAAGGAAAAAGACAAAACCTATGCCTGCAATCTACCTCAACAAAAGAATTCAGTGAAACCAGAATTTAAAAAACCCCCTGGAGTTTCACAATGACTCTACACCCTATTTAAGCAGTAGTTAGTACTAGGTGTACAATAATTCAAAAACAAAAACCCAACAAACACGTTCTTGTTGAAATCTCAGTCAAGTTTCAAGCTTTTTTTTTTCTTTTTAATGTCATTCTAGTATTGCTTTCTAGGATGTAAATGAAGGTGACATTATTCTACAATCCCATGAGTAATACAGAAAAAAGCAGTTAAACCTCAGGCATCTTCTTGCAAATATGTGCTGTATTAATACTAATGCACAGTAGAAGTAGGAGGATGGAAGGATCCCTTTACAAGCAAGGTGTATCTTGCCAGATGAGGGCTGGGAAGGACAGGCGGGTCCCTTGCAGGTTGAAGAAAGATGCTGAACCTCAGTTATTGGAGTATGACACTAAGAAGAATTGTGGGGCTACTGACCAATGCTGGGTTTTTTCAGTAATGCATTTATATGTTTTCTGGAATATAAAAAGCCATTTTGCAAATGTCACACAGATCCTCTCTTTTATTTTACAGGATTTGTAAGGACATCCCCAAAAATTAAGCTAGTAGTAGATCTTCAATGTATGGCTTGCAAGAAAACTACCTCTGGGGAAAATTAAACCCATGTTTACATTCTAGTATCCAAGAGTTCTTAAAAGGCTGAAAAGAGAGGTGTTACATAGGTAGCTGAATAGCTCAACTTTTCAGATATTCTTCTGCTATTTCATGACTTCACAATATTTAAAAATAAATAATACAATGCTATTTAGTGCCTAAAAAGATGTAAAAAATGTTTCAGTACTTTCAACTGAAAATACATCTCTAGTTCAGTACTTTGTCATCTGCAAAATAAGTAACTACACTGTTTTTACAAGATTATACATGTACTTTATAAAGGAATAATTGCATGTTATAGTACACTATAGTAATGCAAGTTATGCAAATTAAGTTTAACCCCAAACTAGTAAAAGAAAAAATATTTGAATACCTCTGAATCTATTTCTGATTTAATTAACCTTCTTGAAAATCTTTTCTTCATCTTAAATTACTCCCTTTTTCTTTTCTTAGATAAACTGCATATTAAGTCACTGACTTTTTGCCAATTGCTTTATCTTGAAAGAGGGACATTTTCGTTAAGATTTGCAGATCCTAAAATGCAGTTTTCCCTGTATCGAGTTATGCTGACAGGTTTTTTTCCTCACACCCCTCTGCTGTGGCGCAGCTCCTCAGATGCTGTCGGGTGGCAGAGCTCCGCTGAGGGCAGCGTAACTCGCCTGCTCTCCGGGGTACCAATGCTGTGATCCATGTCTGGTGACCGGATGCCGTTCTGTTATGCAGCAGGCTTTTTAAAACTATGTTTTTAGAGGCAAACCTGAGGGGGAGTTGAGGCAAACCTGTCGGTGCGTAGATGAGCCCTCCTGCTGGAACCAGGGCTCTCAGCGTCGGATTTTCAGCGCAAAAACTCCTAACCTGGCGGGGGAGGTCTGTCCTAGCTCCACTCAGCGCAGCGCAAAGAAAAGCGGCGGCTCCCCTCGCTGTAACGAGCGGTGGGACGAGCTGCCCGGCCGTTACCGACCCGTCTCGCCCGCAGCAGCGGGCAGAGGGACGGGCGGGCCCTGGCGCGGGGGGCCGGGGCCGCCCCCGGGGGAGGCGGCCCGAGGGGCGGCTCAGCAGCTCCCGCCCGGGGCGGCGGGAGGGGAAGGGGCGCCCCGCGGCGCCGGGGCCGCGCTCCAGTTCCTCATTTTCCTCCCGGGGCTGAGCTTTCCCGCAGAGCTCCGCGCCGAGAACCGAGCGGCGATGATGGACCGCGACCGCAACAAGACGCTGCTGCTGGAGCTGCAGAGGGCCGCCGGGACCGGCAACGACCGCTGCGCCGACTGCGGGGACCCAGGTAAGGCGGGCTCGGCCGCGCCGCAAGCTCCGCTCCCCTCGCACCCCCGGGCCCGCCCGGCGCGTTTCTGACAGAAAAGTGGGGGTGAGGGAGGAGCCGGCCGGGCCCTTCGGGCCGTGCTGCCGGCCAGGTGTCTGTCCATCCCTGCTCAGCCTCCCGGCGTGTCGGTGTCTTCACTCCCGCTCCCGAAAGCGGGGCCCGTCGTCTCACCCGCCACCTCAGGTACCACAGAGGCGGGAGTAGGCAGTCCAGCTCTCGGGGGTGGCCGTTCAGGTGGGACCCTGCGGGGTTGGCGGGCTCTAGGCGGGCAGGACGCGGCTGTCCCCTGCCAGGCCAGGCCGGGAGTGGTGGTGGGAACCCCACGGGGGTGAGGAGAGGACAGCGTGGGACAGGAAGTGGCCTCGGCACACCAGCAGCTTTCCCGGAGTTATTTGTAGACAGAGCACAAGGCCGGAGGACGAGAGCGCGTGGGGTGGCTTTCCAGCTCTGGGGGGAACGGCTCTGCACTGGGGTTGGCGCAGAGGAAGGCACCGAAGAGCCTGCTGGAAAGCCCACGCTGGGCTGGCACCCCGCGCTCGGGCGAAGTGGGAGTCAGCCTCACCGAAGGGAACAGTCAATCAGTAGCCAACAGCAGCTGGAAGAAAACGGCAAGTAGCTTCTGCTTGATGTGATAAGGGAGAAGTGGAGGACAACATGGTGAAAGCAGCAGCCCAAGGAAATGGTCTTGCCAGAGCACTCGGAATGCCTCTATGCATCAAACTGTCAAGGCCACTTCAGGGGATGCAGCAGCAGGCAAGAGCAGGAGCTTTTGTGGGCAGTGGAGTCCTCACTCTAGGTGGTTGTACTTTCAGTAGTACTCACTGTCTGCAACACCCTTCCATTGTTAACAGCAGCTTTTCATGCTGAACTAATAATTAGCTGAGCTTTTACATCACCACTCAGCTGCCTGCACAGTCATATTAATTTTTAAACAAATAGTCGCTGAAAGAGCCTGAAAATGCAGGGGCTGCATTCTTCATTGGGGAAAGCAGGTGCTGTTCCTCTGAACACAGTGAAGTGACAGCCGTAAACAATTGGGTGGGATTTGATGTATTATGTGTGAAGCCTGGACTGTGCATCAGATGTGCTTTTTTGCCCTTGCCAGTGGCTGTGCCTTTTCCCATGTATTAGTTCATTCTTTGTGTTTGTATCTAGATCCAGAGTGGGCTTCTTACAAACTTGGAATATTCATCTGTTTGAATTGCTCTGGATTCCATCGCAATCTTCCTCAAATCAGCAGGGTCAAATCACTTCGGCTTGACTTCTGGGAGAATGATCTTATAGAGGTACAGAAGAAAAAGCAGTAATTCACTTACTTTTCTCCACATTTCATCATAGCCTCCTCTGCCTCATAATTCTTATGTTGTCCACCATGGACAGAGGAACAAAGCCACACAGAGCCAAGTTAACTCCATGGGTAACTTTAGGGGTTTTTTTAATGATCTACTGAAATTACACTGACAGGTGATCATGTTTCTAACAGCCTGCAGTGTGGTTTTTTTTTTAATAGCACACAGTAACTCCTCATTGTGGTTTAGAAGCCCACAGATATTTCCAGACAGTATGTTCTATTCAGTAATCAAGATACCCTTCTTAAATGTTCATTCAGCCTCTCATCTTTCAATTTAATTTTCATTTTCTTTCGTTCTTTTAGTCAACAACCACTGTCTTGTGTTCCTTCCCATCTGGTTCAGTACTGTAAATACTGAAAAAGGCTCAGCCACCTAAAAAGTGCGAACTATAGTGCCAAGGGGAATTTATAAACATATCTAGAGATGCAGTGAGAGTTATGGTAAGACTGAGCAAAAAGCACAGTAGTCCCTTTGATACAAGTTTAATTTTAT